AGGCGCCAGGTCGGAGAAGGTGTTGACAAGAGGCCTGACTTTTTCCTCCCCGAGCTATGCACTAGTATGCTGCCTGCGCGTTGGTATATGCGGGCGCTTTAGTTCACTTACTTCACACCATAATTCCCAGAAGTTTAATCAATATCGTCTTTCACTAACCACCGAGTCACGTGACCACCAGAGTACTTAATATGCAGGTGTGCACATTGTAACATTCTTTCTGTTTTGCCAGAGATTTTCACCCCTAGACATTTTTCTTCGTCGTCTTCTTCCTCTTCAGGTAAATTATTCATGTCTGTAAATGTTTGGTATTCCGGCCTTTATGCCCCGCCGCACTGACCTGGGAACCACAAGATTGTCAATTTGGGTTCATAGCAAACTGAAGTTGACATAATAAAGGAGTACATTGTGTGGAGTAGAGGTCTGTAGACGAAACTAATGACTGGTCTTTCAATACAGCAGTACGACCTCATGCTCTCCGTACATGAATATTTTGGGCTACTGTATTTAACTCCTACTATGTTTAGGTATTTTGAGGACCGTGTTAGAAGGGGAGGGCTAAAAAGTGCACTCGGTGGGAATTTATTCGTGCTTACAAGCCGTCGTAGCGCTGGAGATAGTTGTAGGTTATGGTTTTCGTAGAAGTTAAGTAACACAAAAACATTCTTGCCGGAGCCCCCCTCCCCCCCCCGCCTACATGTAATACTCGTTCGCTGATGCATTAACCACCCCGATATTGAAGGATTCAATGTTCGCCTTCGGATGCTTTTTCGATCTTATTGATTCCTGCGCAATTAGCACGCGTCTCACCTAACAATCCCTGAGAAGGATTTGCTCACTTTCCCAGTAAGATCTCTCTGTCAAAGGCTTGTTTTACTGAGGGGATTTATAGAAAGAGAGGTAACTTATTTTACATTCGGTATTAAAAACCTGTGTCAAAAGCATATTCGGAAAGACAGACGTGGTTGACTGGACTTTAATTTGACTATAACGACGTCGTTGTCTAAATTTTCGGTTGTTTTACAGGCGTTAAAAGTATTTCTCGAATGCTTATCGATAGTTAAATGGCAAAATCGTGTTTGAAATATCATATTTTTTACTAATAACCACTGAAATCCCTGAATTAAGGGACGCAGTCTCTTCATTCTTGTCGTTTTCAACCTTTAACGGAGCCGATGACTTAGTAGTACGCTCGCGAGCCACAGAAAATAAATGTTTGTTAACCTGAGTGACGGCGCAAAGCAGTTGGCACTAACAACGTTTGATTATTGAAGTTTTCCAGAACTTAAGCCCTTTATCGTCATCGTTTGCTAGCGCAAGCAAGTTGTCCCGACTTCCTTTCCGAATATCTCAACAATTGTGCGAACTGTAATAAACCTCCTCCGTTGTCAGAACCCAAGAATATCACATAGAAGTGCAGATAAGTGCAGTATGAGATCTCTGAAGACCATTCTGTAAATGTCCTGCTTAATGGATGATCCACTGACGGGTTGGTTACGAGAATTTCGATAAGTATGTGCTTCATTTCCTCATAAAATTATGTTTACTAATTACTCGGTAAATGTGAAGCACCAAACACCTCCAGGGAATATAACCGGTCAGTTATGTACAGCAATGGCAGCGATGACCTTGTTCACAGCTACGTTAAGGAAGATGGAGTTATCATTATTACAGGGACACAGCTGAACTGCTTCTTCGCTGCGGATGCTTATCCAAAGGGTTTGAAGTAAAAAAAAATACGACTCTCACAAGATCTTCTAGGCTTGACAGCTCTACTCACCTTGCGTCTTCTCCTGCGGTCGAAGGTTGCGTGCATAGACTTTCGTTTGGAGGCGATTTCAGTGTTGCGGACTGTTGAGCACTGCCCGTGTATCCTGGCCAGCAGCTTAGTAACATATCCGCGCAAGGTCCCCCAGGACTGGTAGGCCTGGATGCGAGTTGAGAAGGCATGTGCGCCGGAGGGGGGCACCACCTGTCGTCTGCGTCGTCTCTTTGTGCGCACTGGTCTCTGTGGGAGCTCCCTTTCGCCGCACAGTCGGGCCTCCTGTGAAAGGCATACCGCCTCCTCTGCACTTTTTTGTCTGATATTCTCGTTAACAGGTGGAATCCGATTGGGGGATGTGGAATCAATCGTCTCCCTTTTAGCGCTCGGCGGAGGGCTGGACTTCAGTGAGAGGTTGAGGGGATATCCTTTGTCAGCAGCCTGTCAGGTTTTTCAAGAACGTAAAAATAGCATAAGTTAGAGGCCTGTTAGTTCGTATAGGGAGAGCATGAGATCGAATCACTATAAGAAAACAGACGAAGGAAAACAGACATTCCTTATAAGGTTGCATGGGGCTCTAATTTGAAGGTTAGTTTGCTTGAAGGCCGAATTGTCTTAGTTCACTTTGCAAAGAGTTATCCTTGCCGCGTTTACTCCATGTGTTGAATTTTTCAAATCATTACTTGACCCCGTATTTGCGGGATTATTGCTGATACTACCAGAAACAAATACGCTAATCTGAAAATATGCACATAACTTTTAAATCCCAGTCTGACATCAAGCAATGGAACAATTTAGCAGTTGGGAAGAAAGAACGTTTCGAAGTTACTTATCGGGATAGTTTTGGATTTGCTAAGCCTTATATCCAAACCGAGGTGAGCGTTATGTATTAGTTGATAGTGTATTAGTTCATAGTTGATTTTCATAATCCTTTATTAATACACATGTGTCACCTGGTAGAATCCCCTTGGGGTTCGCCTGCAAAGCCCATTACCGTTCTCCTATGATGTTCTGGGCATCTTAAACTATATGACAAGCACTGCATTAAGACAACCGTAAGGTTTCCTTATAAATATCACCATAGTTTAAACCAAAATAAATTAAAAACTAAACTATAACTAAAGCAAACTAAAATTCGACTGAATTAACTAAACTGAAACTAAATCATAATGTAATAACTAAACCAAATAATAAACTATAATGAAATGAGTCGCTAGTTATGCATAGTAAACTACGGTGCCTCCCCCACCTTCGCAGTACAGTAGTTAGTTGAAAAAACTGACCTCTGTCTTCCGCTCCTGATTCCTCTCGAACATGTCCGAAGGCAGACCGCTGAAGAAGGGCTGGAAGTCTTTCATGTCGGAGAGGCTTCGAAGGGCGCTGGGAAACAGCCAGGGCATGGCAGCGGCTCTTGTCAGATCAGCTTGCATCGCCTGAGCATCCTCCTTCGCCTTGGCCGCAGCAGCCGCTGCCGAGACGAGCGCAAAGAACTCCTCACAGCTGCCCTCCGGCACTGCTTTCTCCTCGGCTCTGCGATCAGCCGTAAGCTGTGAATGTAGGGCCTCCAGGTGGAAGGGGGGACACATGGAGAGGACAGAAAAGCCGGAGCTCAGCTGCGGCGGACTGCGATGCTTCTCCTCCAACTCTGGAGCACCGTTGGTCTTTTGGAAACCGAGGAAACCCTCGTCGGAGAATTCTGGAAGCAGGGGTGCCATCCTCTGTCCGCTTTGACTGCTTACAGCACTCGACGCGACAGGGACCGTGCAGGATGTTTTT